TTACTAGCAGGATAATAAACGTGTCCTATATAAAAGAAAGGAAACTTAACATTTATTAACTAATATTCTCACCAATAGTTTGAGATTGTACAGAATACCATAGAACTATATTAATATGGGCTGCAGGTATACTAAATAATTAACAACTTCAGATGCAACAGCCTGTCTGCCTTGGTGGTCTGTCAGCTCTTGCTACGGCCCTCCATTGTGCCATGTTAAAGATGTTACCCATGCTAATATAAATTATACAAAATGCATCAGATGGATATGATAATCGCTGCGTGTCACTGAACTGTCAGTTTTAGTCGACAATGCTTTTGTTACCTTGTTTACAAGCCTGGCAGAAGCATGCTGCCCTGCTCTGGTTTACTGACTGAGACAGTACTCCATGGCAGATGCTGTGATTCACAATTTTTTCCAGACTCAATAATCATAAAAAATACAAACTTTGCCTTCTTTTTCCCCTTTCAGTTAGGTGTGAGGAGAAAACAGTTGATAACAAAACCAGCTTTTCTTTCTTAAATCTTTTTTAAAGTATAGAAATACTACCTGGAGTATGTTCAGAATATCTTAATTTATTTACAGTAACGCAAACTAAATCAAGTCCATTTCCCTGGGCAAATTCAGACAAAGGACAATTTACAGATAGGTAAAGGAAAGGGTTTTAATAACCTAGTCCGTTGTCTTGCTTATCATGAGCCACAAGGTTTACCCGAATTAACTTCTATTAGAATAAGGACACACCTTAAAGAAAATATATCCTGTCGCCACCTTACACGTGAACTTTTGTGTTTCTATGTCTAGATTCAACTGGCAGCCACTGCTTTTCGTTGCAGCTTTGTCTTTTGACACCAAAGGCATCCCTTGTCACAGCTCTGCTCCCCATATTCGTACCCACAACCAGGGGCTGTTTCTTTGATAAGCTAAACAGATTCAGCTTCTGGAGCCTCTCACTATACTGTGCCTATCTCAACATTAGGCATTTCAAGACCTTTCCTTTGGAGACACTATAATTTAATGTTCTTCTTAAACTGTGGACACTACGGTCATGGCAGCTGCAGGGTGAAAATGAGATAGATGCTAAACTCTCTACCTCCTACTGAAGTTTTCTTCTGTTTATACACTCAGGAACATACTGGGTTCTTCTGTTCTATCATTGTGGTGGGAGCTCACTTTTCCTACAACTCCCAAGTCTTTTATATTGTATCTGATTCCCAGAGGAGAATCCCCTGTTCTTGTAAGGCTTGTCTACACTTTTTTATTCCTAGGTGTATGATTTTACATTTTAGAAAAAGTAAGAGATACAGCCCATATTTTATAAATGAGTTATTCTGAAGTTTTGCATCTGCAGTTTGTACCTAACAAATGACTGTAGGCACCTCTTGCAGTGCGGGTGGGTGGCACTGCGAACTGATGCTGGGACAGCTCCTGTTGGAGCAAGGGGAGGCCAAAACCAAACATATTTGAGAGCAGTACCTGAGCTAAACTACTACCTGACTGCAGGCGAAAATTTACCAAGCTTGTCGTTATTTCTAGTCATGTAATTTTGAGTAAAAGGTCACAACTGAAGATGAGACGTTTATCAATGTAAGGATATAATATTGCCTGCTTTGCATTGAAAAGATAAAATATGTCTTAGAATAGCGTCTTCTAACTGATCTTGTGCATTATGCCACAAATTGGTATGTTAACATGATACAATACATTTCCCAAACTACTATACAAACTGTAGTATGTCTCCATAAAAATATCCTTGAATAGTTTAAGCATTTTTATACATTTTAAAAAACTTGTACAAATTTGCGAATAAGTTTGCTGTGCATTTACCAGAGACGATAATCACATTCCAATAAATTTGCTAGAGTTAAATTATTATTTTTGTTGTAAACTATATGCAGAGCTTTCTTACTTTATAGAGCCAGCTTGGCTGGATCTATAGAGCTCTTACAAGAACCATAACCATACATCAAAACGTAAATGATACTAGTATATTTATTTATGTCATTGTAACTGTGAAATAACATATAGTTTCTTTAATATATTTGATTTTTTTTAACACTAGGATTACTCAAACAGTAAGAACTTCTCCTTTTCAGTGATATAATATTGATTTCGGGGTTAAACGAGGAAAGTTTCAATACAGAGCTACAAGTCTCAGGAGATAGATGGATTCTTCAATGGAAGAGTTGAAACATTTCTATCATAGCTGCACAAGTCTAGTAATATATATTATTTATTACAGTTTACTACTAGAAATGTTCCCCTGTAAATCAGAAGCTAGGTAAAGAAAGGTAACTGTAGATACAATTCCAGTTGACAAAGCAAGAGTCAAATGTAATCTAATTATATTATATTTTCTCTTACTGCCTTTTGTTTCAACTGCACACATCAATATTTATTAACTCTACAAAATATGTGATTTTGCTGCTCATCTGACGTAAGATCTAAAACGGAAGAGAAGTTATTCTATGTCCCTACCTAGTCATCCCTTGACAGCTATCTGAATGAGAAAGCGAGGCTGCTTGAATAAACCAACCAAAAGTTTGAACGGCAGCCAGAGAACTCAGCACCATTTAGGGTAGCATTGCTTTTAACAACAAGCAGCAAGCTTGCCAAGCCAGATTAAAGTCAAGCCTAAAAGTTAATTTAACTCTTTCATAGCTGAAATCTACTCTGGTGACAGCAAATCTGAAAGGAACCCAAGGATGAGGAAAAGATTCTGAATAAAGTGCTAAGGGGTTCCATTTTCTATGGTTTTACAGAGGAGTATTCACACACAGGAAGAATATTGACAAAAGTAATGACTGATGGGCATGATACTTTATTACTACATTTCCCATGAGTTTACTACTCCCATACTGTGACATGCTAAAGCATGTTACAAAATGCTAAAGCATCCTACAACCAGAACTACGTCTAACTCTATACACTGAAGCAGGTGCCATCAGATGTAGTATCTTCCATAAGAAACCTGAGCTATAATGTGTAAAGATTTAAACAGCAGATTCACCATATCATTTCTTAGAACATGAAATACAAGTAATGCGTTGGCCGTATGAGCACGATGGCTACAAAACAGCAATCTGTCGAGTGAATTGATGAAGTTCAATAGATGGAAGTGCAGAGGGCACCTATGGAGGAATAACACCATGCCCCAGTACAGGCTGGGGGCTGACCTGCTAGAGAGCAGCTCTGCGGAGAAGGACCTGGGAATCCTGTGGACGACAAGTTGAGCATGAGCCAGCAACATGCCCTTGTGGTCAAGAAGGCCAATGGTATCCTGGGTTGCATTAGGAAGAGTAAGGCCAGCAGGTCGAGGGAGGTGATCCTTTCCATCTGCTCGGAGGCCATAGCTGGGGTACTGTGTCCCAGTGCTGGGCTCCCCAGTATAAGACAGACACGGAGCCACTGGAGCAAGTCCAGCGAAGGGCTACTGTGATGATTAAGGGACTGGAGCATTTGTCAAATGAGGAAAGGCTGAGAGAGCTGGGACTCTTCAGCCTGGCGAAGAGAAGATTGAGGGGGGATCTTACCAGTGCATATAAACATTTGAAGGGAGGGTGTAAAGAGGATGGGGCCAGATTCTCCTCAGTGGTGCCCAGTGATAGGACAAGAGGCAGCGGGCACAAACTGAAACACAGGAGGAAAAGCTCCTTTACTGTGAGGGTGACAGAGCACTGGAACAGGTTGCCCAGAGAAGTGGTGGACTCTCCATTCTTGGAGATATTCAAAAGCCGTGTGGACAGGGTGCTGGGCAACCTCTCTAGGTGATCCTGCTTGAGCAGGGGGGTTGGACTAGATGTTCTCTAAAGGTCCCTTCCAAACTCAGCCATTCTGTGATTTTGTGACCATGACAAATAAGTGGTATTTCCTATGTTAAATGATACCTTAGCTTTATCTTTCTATATGTCATTCTAGTTAGAGGACATGGGTAAAGCATGGGCTAACCATGCTATAAAGAGTTTTAATGGAGCAAGATCTACTGCCTGGAACGTTAGCTTTCCTCCTTGCTGTTGGAAAGTCTTGTTAGATGTTAACATCACTCTTAGGTAAGATGCTTTCCTCTTTATGCTTTATAAACAATATCTCATTAATGTTTCATTAGCAGAACACACTAATGAGTCAGCCACTGATTTACATTAAAGCCAAAATATGCAACAATATCACTAAATGTCTATGGAATATATGCACCACAGGGTTTAAAAATTTTGTCCTTGATCCCTTGAACATGTATGGACATGCCTAACTTTTATACGTGGGACCCATCCCAATGCAGTCATTTTATTCTTGTCCAAATGCTAAACATGTTGGTGTGCTTACAGGATTAGAGCTTACTGAAAAACTATTAACATATTCTTGAAATTAAATAAGTGAAACATATTTTTTGTTCTTCTAGAAAACCTGGATGTAAGTATTCCTAAAATCCCAGTACCTCAAATCAAAACGTGTTAGAAAACTACACTGATAGTATTGATACTACTTATTTGTCTTGCTCGCTTGTCTTCCAGAGAAACCCCACATACAACTCTGTCTAATGGGAGACAGGATAGTTGAACAGACTTTAGAACATTCATATTTTAAACTTGTCTGAAGGAGCAAAAGTAAACTCTCAAATTAGTATTAAAAAAAAAGGGTTATAGTCAACAAAATATGACTACAAATATTTTAGAAATTATTATTGGTATTACATAATAAGCACGATTTCTTGCTGGATTTCAGAAAAATACTGGAATCTAATTATTGCTTCTAAATACATGAGATAATTTACTCTGTATTTTAAAATCTCTGATAAAAATTCCTTTAAGCTATAAAAACAACATGCCTTGAGACTAAGACAATAGAATTTTCCTTTCTGTAAAGGGATATTTAAAAAGTTTGTCTTTAGGAACAAACCTTATGAAAGCATGGTGAGCTGTCCAAAGGATGAGGTCCTTCACAGCCTGAGAAAGGTATCCAAAGTATGCTCTCACTACAGTTTTCCTCCACGAGGATACGCTTACCTAAATTGCTGTATGTAGCACTGCAAGGATTTAAGTCAGGAGAACTTGACGCTTCTTCCTTGTCTTCCTCCCCATGTGGGGCACGGACAGACGACACTGGTATGATGGAGGCACTGCCGCCATTGTCCTGCTTCACGAACACAGCTCTGGGGACGCGAGGGGACAAATCCTCCACTGTCGTCTCATCGGGCACTTGACTGAAACACACAAAATGAGATTGTCTGGAGACCATGGCAGGGTACTCGAGCTTACTGGCAAAATATCAGATTAGCAATAACATATCTTCAGTAAAGGGAATGGACTAGTAAAGGACTAAGCTCTTTTCACCTCCCCCCCCCGCCTTTTTTTTTAAAATAGCTTTCTAAAATATTTATTTTACTTAGTAAGATGAAATAGCTTTTGACTGAAAGAGTAACAACAGTTCACACCTTTCATTCAAAAGGGGTAATAATAAAATGTTTCATGGTTGGCTACAACCAGCATGTGTACACTTCTGGATGCAGGCCTGATTCTGTGTAATGATGTGTGCAGGACTCGCAGGAGGGCAGCAGAGGTTAAGACGTTAACTAGAACGCGTTTTTGCCAACTAGAACGTGTTTGTTTCAATCAAAGGTACCTGAGTATAGTGAAGGGACTGTACACCTTAGTAAATGCATAAAGCTTTATTGATAAATTTTCATATTCTAGAAGGATGATGGGAATGGTCACTTTGGGAGACAGACCAGAATCCTATTTCCCATATAAAATATTCCAGGATTAAAATCCAACTGCTAATGCATTAGGCCATTTACACGAGGCCATGAACACATTCCTCTGTGCTTGCTCTTAACTATGAAGATTTAATCATACAGTGATGATTAATAGCACAAAGCTGTGAAAATCATCTCACTTTCCGTGGATGTATTTACTGTAGTATGATTTAAAAATTATGCATAATATATCAAATAAAAATGAGCAATATGCCCAGATTTATTCAAAAAAACCCTGTCCTACTGAAAACACAGCCGCAATTACCAATAATCATGCCACACACAACATGTTAAAAATGGACCAAAAATATTTCTGTGCCTTTATGCTCTCTCACTCACAAAAACAAAAGTTCAGTATAGGTCAAACCTCAAGAGCATGTATCTTAATCACTAGCTCTCAATATTTCAGCCTGATCCAGTAGATAGGAAGAATTTTAAATATACACACTCTTCCATAAAGGATAGGGGGAAGGCACTTCCTTCAATAGATGATCACATCATTTTTCTCTGCAGGTGTTTAATTTTTACAGTTAAAATTTAAAATTTAACTTGTGATAAAAACATAATAATGATGCATTTTTAAATAGGCAGAACAGCCGAGTTTCCATGATGCAAATCTTCGTAGTGGAAAGAGAGATTATATCCTCAGAGACTTATCATAAATTATAGGTATATGTCTTTCTGCACTAACCCAAAACCAAGTTACTGAAAAGTATGATACGCAATCTTCTAGCAATGCCAAACTCCGCTTAAAACATGCCACCACTTTGCATAACACAGGCCCCCATGTACAGTGTGCACATGCTGCTTCCACTGTCAGGCTCATGGATTTTAACTGCAGGCTGGTACAAACAAAACCCATGAGGACTTGTTAGTGAGAGACAAAATGGCAAAGTTCACAATGCTGTAATCTTCAATCAGCATAAAAACATTTCCTCGTTTTTAGTTCCATGCAGACTAACGTTGTGAAGAGCGTTCTGTGTGCCATAAATAGACCCACATTAAAGAGTTAATCTAAGATAATTTCAGAGTAAAGCGTACACTAAAACTAAAGCAGTGAAAAAGGCTCTTACGCCAATAAGAGATTATAATAAAAGACTTGCAGTTTCTGTAAATCATATACATACCTGCATTCCTCAGCAAGAACGTTTTCTTTTCAAAAGAAATAGTTTCTAAAAGCTTTACAGTTCTGACATTGCCACATACCGGGAATTCTCACATCTCCAAGTAATTTTTAGTATTGCTTGGGGAAGCACAGAACAGACTCATTCTCCATACCAGACGCATGCAAGCACATTCACTAAACCTAAGCTCAGAAGCATTTTGCCAAACAAAGTAAACCAGCAGCTAGAAGGGAAGAAAGAGGGGGAAAAAAAAAAACCAACTCACCCACTGTACTCGCTCACACAATTCCCCATTAAAGGAAATTCTTTCAGGGCCTTCTTGAGTCTTTTAATCATGTCTTGAAACTCAGGCGAGCCATTGATTCCGCCGTGTTCGGAGGCGCTACAAGTTGTGCAAGCTGTGAGCGACACGGCCGGACTCTGCACGCAGCGCTACCCCTCCTGCTATGCCTCCTGCACCTTCGTGTTTACCTTAGCGGGTTGGTCCCAGGGCCTTGCCAACGCGCGCCCCGGGAAGCCAGCGCTAGCCCTGCCTGCTTAACTCTTCCACTGCCTCGGTGGGTGAAAAAGAGCTCACTTTCTGCTGCATCACTACTTCTGTATGACAGCTACGGTCCCAGTCACGTTAATTAGTTACAGAAGAGCAGGTTCAAATTTCAAAGGTAGTTTAAAGAACCTGGACATAACGTTAAAAGCAACTGAACATCTTGAACGCGTATTCCAAGCGCTTTTAGTATCTGAAACTAATACGTTTGAAAGTGCAGCAATGAGATGTCAGGTCATGTGAGGAAACACTTCCCTGTAACTTAATAGTAAAGAGGAGGGGAGATTTTGAGAGCTGAAGCACACTTAATGCAAGGCACCAACTCCATAAGCAACAGGGCAGCCCATAATCGTCACCGACAACGCAGGGGGAAAACGTCTTTGTCACTCATTAACCTTCAAGAATCCAGTTCACAATTGCTTTTGCTTCCTGTGATAGTCTAAACAGTTAAAGATCTATCAGTTTTCTGGAAAAGTAGAGCTGCTGATAAAGAAGCAGTTCTTTGAGATTAGAACTACTAAAGCCTGGTTTTGCATAAATTTGTCTTCTTGTTGACTGCAAGTGCCACTTAGAGCTATGCCCTTTTTTGGGATATTTACAGATATTTTGCCAGGGTGGATTCTTTGATGCCTAGCATGGGAGCACATTTTTAGCCCTTCCCTCAGTGGGGGCAGGCTCCTCTGCCTAAGCCTATTTCTACAAACTTCATAGGAAATGCATTACCTCAGAGAGCTCTGCTCCTCTAAACAACTATTCAGTTAACGGAGGGAGCAGCTGGACACACACAGAGACCACGTTTGTTGTCCTAAGAAGCTGAGATTATGCAAAGCAAAAATACTTGCCATAAAAATAACTGGCTTTCAGATAACATCTCTCTGAATTCATAAACTTGTGATTCACCCGCGCCCAAGCACAGAATTGTTTAAAAACAGTCTTCTGCTGGGAGAAATAATGTCCCTGTGCCTACCCTCAGCCTATCCTCCTTCACAATATTTGTAGGAGGGATATGGATGATGGGGCCTCAAAACTCTTTGCCTCAAAATTCTTTTGGGAATAGTTTAACATGAGAATCCAGACAGCAGATCATGTAGCAGGCTGATTTTCATAAGGACAATGGGATCACAGTTGTGGTGTGACCTGTATTTCCCCCTCTGAGAACATGCCTTCCCAATTAGAGTGATTAAGAAAGAGAAATGAGTATGAAGGAGAGAAGAATAGGGAATACTTGTACAAAGTGATTTTGAGAGTGCATCCTGAACTAGGGTCAGATCTCGAGGTGCAGCTGAGGGAGCACAGGTCAGTGCGAGGCAGCAGACAAAACTCCAAGCGGCAGAAATGGGAAAAAAATTGACGTGGCCTTAGACCTAGCTGAGACTCTGATATCCCCTCTGAGTGGACACACGCTTTTACATGTGGTTTGAGATGAGAGAGCCTGACAAGCACGAAGACTTTTGTTGCACAAAGAGTCTGTGGGGCTTTCAGATATATTGAGTTTCAAAGAGATCCTTTTGAGACCCCCTAGGGGCCTACAGTTTTAAGCTAATATAAAGTCTAATTTCATTGAATAGTACTTGAGGAAAAATGCAGAGAGGCTAATGGCTTGAGGGTGGTCAAAGGCCACCTTATACAGGAACTTCTACTCAGAACACAGGATGACTTTATTTCTGTAAAGCACTGAGCAGAGAAGATCAGGGCTCAGATTTAATTCCAAGTACGTTACGGGTAAAGGACATTCTAGGACATACAGTAGACATCCAGTCTAGTGGCTCAGGCACTTCAGCTGCCCATCACTGTCATTAGCCAGAAATAGTCACTTAAGAGGAAAGTGAGAGAAACTTTCACTTTCAATTCACTGCCAATTGACAGACTGAAATAACTAAGCCATATGGAAAGTTTATTTCTAATTCTTCTTACTTAGAAGTTGGCGTATTCCTGAAGCAAAAGAATTTATATCCCTCCTCCTTTTTTTTTTTAAATCTTGTCTAATGCGATGTTTGTGTGGATAAAGGGAATCCATTGGATAATCCAGTAAAGACAACCTACTAAGCTCTTTAGCACCAGTGATACTTAGTGGCAGTGAGCTCCGCAGATGAACTGCACATTACATAAGAAAGTATTATTTATCCATTTTACAGACTGTGGCTGAGGACATAAGAACAACAGGACTAGGTTTACTATTTTCTTACCTATATTTATAAAATAATGAATGATAAAATCCCTTCTAATTTGCTTTTTAACATTTCTCAGAGTCTACAAATCCTCTTCGCATGAAAGTTTACCTAGTTTTGCATACTGAACATGCGTAATTTCTGTTTTCTGTTAGTACATAGATGTTCTTGAGAGAAATCTCACAGAAGTTTTTCATAGATGAAATGGTAAGATAGACGGCTAATGTGCTTATGACCAAGACAAGAGAGCCTTTAAACTGGAAAGAAGGACTTTGTTTTAAATATAGGCCTACTGTGATTTAAAATGTTTTGTTCTCTTCTTGAGTGATTTCTGAAATGGCTATGGGATCTGCAGGATCTGAGTCAATGATAATGAAAAAAAATGATAGCGCTGGTTCTTCCTGTGTGTCTCTGGATATGATCCTTTTAAGTTCTGGTGCTCTAAATCACCTTACTGGAGTTGTTTTCTCCATTGGCTATATACGGAAATTAAACTCCTAACTCTGATTCTTAAAATCACATTTGGCTTAGTGTAATTTAAAGCAAACAGGGTGAACAGTCTTGAGTGACCTCAAGGCAATCAGAACCACAAAAAACATTTGAGGAGCACTGACACCACTGGAATCCCTCCATGGCAGGTAGTGCAAGTCTTCGGCCAGTTTTCTAAAAGAAAATCCCAACTTTAGCTATGAAGAAATGGTTTCTTATCTAAACCAGAACAGAATGAATATACAGACCTCACTACTTGAAGGAAGTTATTTCAGTAAACAGATAGAGTTTTATCTTTTGTTCATCCAAGTCTGCCCCAAAGATCCTATGATGGAAATGTATGAGTGATTTATAGCTATGAAAGGGAACAATTTAGTTTAAAATGTAACTGAAATTGAAATGACTGCACAAATCAGTTGTACCTTGATTTACACAGGCACTACCGTCTAAAAAGAACACTGGAGATTTTTAATTCAACTCTGAGGTAGTTTATGAAGGTACGAAAGGAAGACTCAGAAGGCTGCCCCAAAAATTTCTTTTAGGGATCATGTTTCAATCTAAAAACGCTGCTACAGGGCTTAAGCAACGATCGCTCAGGGAAGGAGAAGCCCTTATTTTATGAAGCTCCAATAGATGCAGCTTGATCCACTAGATAATAAAGCCTTTGAAGAATATAAAGACTTTTTTCCCCCCCACTTTTGTGTGGCTTCTGAAGTGTGCCATACCACCTTCAGCAATTACACTGGCTTTGGCCAGAAATACTGTCATCCTTTCTCTTTAGAGGTCTATTTTGGCTTTGGCCTGAGAACAACTTGTGCATCATGAAAAAATGAACTACAGGTGTCCTGGGAAACAGATTTTCATTCCCATTACTGATAGGACTGATGTGATTGCTGATTTTTAGAAAAAGAAACTATTCCATTTACAAAGTCTTGGTAAAAACCTGGTTATTATCAATTCTGGTCTGTCATTTTCTTTCTAAAGAAAAACAAATCAAGCTCCTTTGAAAAAGGATTACAAAAATGTGGAATCTTTAGCTGTAATCAATTTAATGTTGGTTTTCAGAGATAAAGTCAGATCCTACCTTAGTATTTGCTAGCTCCTTTTGAACCACCATATATGCATTCTGACACCAAACCAAGAGACTATCACATGGATAAAACAACATTAGATTCTTCGCTGTAATAGACACAGATACTTACAGCTTCCCAAAGAATTGCATATTTTGCAAGTGCTTTTATAAATGATGAACTGACCTTTCTAGGGATAACATAACCACAAATCAGGGTTGAGGGTATTTAAAGTTATCAATCTCTACCAGCTTTGTAATCCACTGCAAAGTAAGGGACTAGTGTATCTTCATTCAATATACTTTCAAGACTCCCAGTAATCTGACATTTCTTAAGCTTATTTTATTTGCTAGGTCATCAGTTTGGTTTCTCAGTGAGCTTGCAGTTGTTGGTGTTCTCCATTACAAAAGTGTCATGTTTACTGATTGCTATCTTCATGTCTTAAGTTTTCCTCAAAGGCTTCTGCAAGCTTAACTGAAAATTTTAAACATCTTTTCCATGTGCATATTTTGATCTGAATTAACATTAATCTTTTAATAATACCTGATGAATAATACCTAATAGCAGTCTAGCATCATCTGTTATGTCTCCTCCTTGTGCAAAAATGGAAGCTGACAAGCTTGATTCTCACCTACTGGAATACTAAAAAATAAATTCAGAATCCTAAACAAAATTAGCCTTATTTTTGGCATTACAAAGTTTCTTTCAATCTCCCTAACAGTATTCAAAACTAAGTTAAAGAAAACCCACAAAAACAAAAAAACCCAAACCCTAAAGGCATCGAATTGCATCAGGGTATCAAAAAGAATAACTGAAAGATAAAAATATTGACTGTCCAGTGTTCTGACTACATATTTCTCAATAACTCAGTGAATTTTCTTAAAAATTTGTAGAAAGGATAGAATGGTATTGTTAGAAAGAAGAAATTCCAGCTGTAACAGTTGGAAGATTCCAAATACAACTTTCACCAGCAAAAATTGTGAGATACGGTTTCAGCCAATATTATCACAACTTGCAGAAAAATGAAAAGTAAAAATGCTTCTCAGAGTAAGGGAATAAGCTAGGAGAGAATAATGATTCCTTTCAATAGTAAGGGTAAAAGATATTCCAGTGATACCACAAAACTATAAAGCAGGATAGCAGCACCGTCTCTAGGGTAATCTTAAGAACAAACGCTAACTATCAGCATGGCCATTAGCCTGTTATTGCCCTTCACCACTGAGATAAGCTCTTATTCCTTCCTGACTGCTTCTCTGCCAGATCAGAGAGCTGATCTGGCTGAATAACAACGTGATGGTTATTCTTCACCCGCGTCACTTCCCCAGGTTGGTTCCCCACGGGTGACCACAGAAATGGTCTTGCCAGCACAAGTGGGGACACTAAGGAGGTGGAACGAGAGGCTGCGAGACGAGACACAGGAGACTGTCCCGATGGCTGTGTGCGCGGTGCTGCTGCTGCTGGAAAACTGCTCGCGCAGCCTCAGTTTCTCCAGGTTCTCCTAGAGTTAACAGGAAAAAAGGGGTTCCTCTAAAGGGACTACTGAGGGAACAAACTTCTCCGATTCTTTAACTTGCTCTCCAAAGCTGCTTACTTCTCTCCTTGTCCTACAGGGAGAGTCTAGGCTCTTCTCAAGAGCTAGCCCATCCCTGGGAATGCTCCCCACTGTCTGCAGCCTCAAACTGTAATATGCCCTGACTGCCTCCCGTCATCACACGTGCCTCTCCACTATTGCAGTGGTACACAGCTTGCAGAGATGCTGGATGCTGACAGGTTGTACCAACTTCAACGGCTTGTGAAAGTGCTTTGTGTTGCTGAAATTCACACCAGCAATTTGCAGTGGGACTTTTTTGCCCTATTCATTTGCATGTGAATTTTATTATTAATATTTTTTAAATAAAAGTCTTGAATCTTAGATTGCAGAAACAGATGCTATGCTAAGTTTTCAGAGACTGCCCTTATCTTCTTGTATTTGGGAGAGTTATTCTTATAGTATCCTCAGAAGATATAGTCTAATACATCTACAGCTGTAGTCAGTACTCAGTGAAATACATACTGTGCCCACATGACCGAGTGCAACAAATATCTCCAACTCGCTTAGGTTATGCACTGTCATGACAGCCATATAAACTGGACGGTACCTTAAAAAAATGGCATGTTGAAAATAAACATGGTTCTTAGCGTTCAGAGACAACCAAGCATGTGTACCATTGATAAGGAACAAACAGACCTTTAAACCAAGACCTACCAAACTACCACTGATTTAAAGAAGTAAAATAAACATATATTGACCAAATAATTTTAGAAAAATCAAAAGTGATTTCAGCACATTATGGTTTAAAAAATGAAATTAGTGAACTAATTGTCAGGCAGAAACGGCAATCATCTCCACTGAATCCAATACTGTTATGGGACAAAATATTCATCGCTGTAAAGGCTTTGTAAAATGGAAATTATTTTATAAATATTGTAATTCTATTATTATGTTTTTACATAGTTTATTTTAGGAGCGCTGTAGTGACGCTGCATTGTAACATGAAGTTTAATTAGCATACCTTGTATTCACGGGAGATAAAGTTAACACATCACATTCTATGAGTCACTGTGTTTGCAATTTCCGTTTTTCTATTAAATAGCATCTTTCGATTTTTGCAGAGGAATTCTTTAGTATTGCTATAACATAAGAACACTTTCTTAAGCTACAAATCTAGGAAAAAGTATCTGATTCAATGTAACCTAGCTATCACAACATATGAATGAACCTGCATCACAAATAACAAACATTGAGTATTGTTCCAAGTTAACTTTTTTTTTTGGGGGGGGGAGGAGGATCTTTGCTGATATCCAACATAATGCAAAGATTTTTAACATATGCTTTAAAATACCTAAAATAAATATATTTTGAAAATCTTACACTTAATGTAATAATACTCCTTAATTTCTTCCCTTTTCTGCAGTATATATAGAGCATTTCACAACTGAGTGAGAATGAAAAAGATGATAGGAATGAAAAAGATGAGCAGATTACCTGGGGATTTTCTTGGGAATCTGAGATGGTGAAGAATGGCTCTTTATTTTCTGTTCAGAGCTCTCCAGAGAGTTTTCTTGTGTTTCTCCTTTGTCTTTTGCTTGTGCATCTGCAACCGAAGACTCCGCTCCAGTTATGTTTTGACGGTCAGCCTTTGGTTCAGTTGGTGCTGGTTCACATCTATACATGAAAACAATAGGGGAGGAGGATCTTTGCTGATATCCAACATAATGCAAAGATTTTTAACATATGCTTTAAAATACCTAAAATAAATATATTTTGAAAATCTTACACTTAATGTAATAATACTCCTTAATTTCTTCCCTTTTCTGCAGTATATATAGAGCATTTCACAACTGAGTGAGAATGAAAAAGATGATAGGAATGAAAAAGATGAGCAGATTACCTGGGGATTTTCTTGGGAATCTGAGATGGTGAAGAATGGCTCTTTATTTTCTGTTCAGAGCTCTCCAGAGAGTTTTCTTGTGTTTCTCCTTTGTCTTTTGCTTGTGCATCTGCAACCGAAGACTCCACTCCAGTTATGTTTTGACGGTCAGCCTTTGGTTCAGTTGGTGCTGGTTCACATCTATACATGAAAACAATAGATGGCTTCTCACTGGAGTCTGATTTTGACTCACTGAACCAATGATGACGTTGAACTGGAGGAGGGGGGAGCATATGTATAACAGTTCCATCAAGACCCACCAGCTTTCCTTTCTCTCTTTCTTTCTCTTTGTCTTCCTCATCATCAGTTTTTCTGCGGCGGAAGAAGCTCTTAAAAGATATCCAGCGTTTGGGCTTTGCATCAGCAGCTCGCCTACCTTCTGAATGAAGGATTGACTCGGCCTCTGTTGACCTAGTGGGACTATTTGGTTTGGTCCAATTGCTGAAATGTCTTTGCAACAAGTTACTTGCATGATAGGGTGAAGATGTGGATCGTGGAGGAGGAAATGGTGGTGCTTGCTCCGTTTTGGGACTTGTGGTATTTTGCATGCCTCTCACTGGCTTTGGAGAATGGGTGGCAACTGGCTGTGACACTGTATCTTTCTGCATCTTAGTGGTAGCGTTTTCCATGGTTTTGGGTGACTCTACCTCAGACTGTGATGTAAACAGAGATTTGGGTCGTACCAGGGTGTTCTTAGTAGCATCTGCATCAGGGGGTAAGGAATACAGTTCTTCGATGCTACAAGATTTGGGTCCAGACTGAGGTGTTTCTGGAGGAGTATGTGGAGGCTGGATGGAAGCCACAATCTGGGAAAGCACCGTGCTTGCATTCTCTCTGCTGCCACTGCCAGCAGAAGCCTCTGGTGTTACTTCTATTTTTGCTGCAGGCTCTTGGGTTGCCTTTTGAATTCTTGGTGGGGAGCTGTGGTCAGAACTATGACTTCTTTGTGGTGATATCTGACCTTTACTGAGACAGCTGTTAAACTCTTGGACCTTCTGAGCCACAGAACCCAGCCTACACTCTGTGCTATTAGTCACTCCCTTTGCTTGAGAAAACTCGGTGTGTTTGTTTCCTGCAGTTTCAGTCATTTTGCTTTCTATTTCTTCGTAGGTGTGGCTTATTACACTAGTAGTTTTATCTTTGATGGATAGCTCTCCGCTGGTCCCTAGAAAACTTTTATAGATAGCCAGATTATCATACGCATTTGGATTAATTACAATGGGAACTTTAATAGCATTTTTGGAACTCTTAGCATAAGTGGGCTCATCATGAATTATAATAGGAAAAGGTGGCATGCCAGCATTATTGTAGCTGTTGAACTTAATCTCAGATAAATTGGGAGACTTAACTGGGATAGTTTTTGAAGAAATGTTGGTAGCTGTAGGTGAAGTAGGAGCTGACTTGTGGCTTGTCTTTCTAGGAGGAACAGAAGGTCCTGTGCTATTAGCAATTAACTCCACCTTAGGTATCTTCTGTCGTGGACTAGTACTAGAGGTCCACACTTCTTGATATCTGATTGCACTCGATTTTTTCAGATTAGCATTTACTTGTCCAGGTGATGCTGCAGAGGATGTAATAGGTGTGCCTGGAGTTCCTGGTGAATTTGGGTTAGATGATGTGGTTTTCGTTTCTGAGGTTTCGGTCTGATTCTCCTTACATTCATTGGTCATGGCAGCTGATACATCTACTATGGTATATGGCTTGCAAACTGGTTGTTCCATATTCACTACCCTATAAGGTTTGGCTTGCTCTTCCACAGGCACCAGATTTATAGTTACAGCTTGACCAGCAACATCTGAAGAACTTTTATTCTCTTGCTTATCAGTCTGCACAGCAATTTTGCCATCTTTCTCTTCCAGTCGAAGAGCAAGTACTGCCTTGTGGGTTTCTAGACTTTTTGGGACATTTCTAGAAACTTTTGACACATCCTTCACCTGCTGATTATCACAAAGACTGTCATATTCTGGTTCAATGAGTTTGACATCATGAGGGGTACTAGGAGATAATCCCCCATTACAGAGCTTCTGTGATGAACTGCTGGTTGTTCCAGAACGAGACTCTTCAGTCAAAGAAGAATCGGGAGATGTAGAATCAGAAGATACCATGCTCTGCATGCTCTCCTGCCCATAAAGAATCACAGTCTCTTCCCCATAGCCATTTAAAATTTCATCGTAACTATCATCGTAATCTACTGCACAGATCCGCTGAAGAGACTTGTTTCTAAGGGGCACAGTATTCCATTTTTTGTCAACGCAGAACTGAACAGGAGACAGGGTGTTAGCTCTAAAATTAGCAAAGCGAGGTTGGCCCCTCATACGAATTTCCATTGCTAGCAACTCTTCATCGCTTTCATCCCAGCTCTCATGCTCTTCTTGCATGCTGCCAAAAAATGCATCATCCTCACTCTCATCTCCACTAGAGAATTCTGGATAACAGAAACGTCCACCTTCATTACTTATTACTTCAGTGCTTCCACTCAGAATAACGTGCTTACTGTGTGAATCCTTCATTCCACCCATCATGCAGCTTGGAGGGATCTTTCTTTCCAGTGATCTTTTATAGCAATTATTTATTCTTCCCAAGAAAGTTTCTCTTGAGTTCATTTCATTTCCAGTTAGCTGAGGTGTCGTATCCAAACCTGCAATCTCCTTCAACACTTCTGTCAGTCCATTATTGTTATTTGGTATCTTACCTACGCCATCATTGTTGCCATAAGGCCTATGAACATGGCTATAACCTTCAATTTCATCTTCATTATTATTGTTCAGTGGTTTTTTGTTCAAGACAGCTTTGTTTCGGTTCCACCCTACGGGCACTGATTTATTCTCACAATGATCCGGTGCACTGATTTCACTGCATACACCCTGCCCATCTACTACCATCATGGTGGGTTTTACAGCTATAGTGGGTTTCTTTGCCACAGGTGGACGGAAATTTCCTGTATTTCTACCACGATGGCTGTTACTTTGGTTTGCATTGGTTTTTAGATTTCCATGTGAGAGGGTTTTTTTTTCAGAGACTGGGGGTAACTGATGTAAGCTTTTAGGCTTGAAGCAGTTCTTACATTCACCAGGTTTCCAGACGTGCTCAGTGAAAGTGTTGCAAGCAGACATTTTCCCAGAGCTTTGCGCTTGATGCTGTGCTGTTCAGTGCATGGTAAGAACTTCATCCATATGTTTCCACTCTGTTCACTTAGTAGGGCTCCTGGTTCAAGCAGCGATCATTCTGAAACACAAGAGAGAGAACGAGGCTAAGAATGGGGAAAACAAAGTTAACCATTACACTTGCTTATATTCTGACTGTTCCTACTTTTACTACACTCTTAACAATGACTCAGAATAACCAAGTAGCCTCGTTGATGTCTTAGCTCTTTTTACTGAAATTGAAAACGAGAGAGAGAGAGAAATGGCAATGACTGAGAATTGAGAATAATTCCCCGACTAGTTCAGGACCATTGACTGCAATTTTGCCCAATAAATCAAATGCTAGGGAGAGGATTTAAAGCCAAAGATTAGTGCATATTGCCACAGACATAACCATTTAAATATGAGACAGGAAAGTAAGAGTATGTTTTAGTCTCGCAAATACAACATAGATCATTTGTTTTAGCTTCAAACGTGAACGAGCTCAGCTTAAGTGGGAAAATACGTTCAAGCAATTCCAAACTCTTCTGCCATTTTAGCACCTTTTTCTTCAAGTTAAATGATTACTGGACAGATGCTTTGGTTGAACAGGCAGGCTGGACTGTATTCTGGAAAAGTTAGATAAAAATGCTGGGGTAACCTTTCCAGAAAGTTACTTTTCCTTCTCTTTAGCTTATTGTAGCGGCAAATAAACCTAGTTTACATCAATAAAACAGAGCTATAGATTTTTAGTCATTGATTTGTTTCATGTGTAGCTATTTCACCTAAACTAAACCCCAAGAAAAGTGTTAGCCTCAGATAACCGAAAATCTACTTCCAAGTAAGTCTTACGATTTCCTGAAATGATCAGCCTCAAGTAAAAACCAAACATGGCTCTGCTGTATTTTATAGTGCTTGGAATAGCCAGGATTTGAGAGTTTCCTAAATTAATGCCTGAAGATTTTAAGCCTTCTCAGCCAAATCCACAGGTCTGGTCTCTTTGTCGTTGTGTAACTCAAAAATTATCTGACAGATTTCTACCGCATGAAAGAATCTCCCTGTGTTCAGCACTGCATCTGCAAACACAGGCATTGACAATTGATACTTTGATATTCTTCGAGGCTTTGTGTGAAAATACACTTGCTGATCGCATAGATACATTTGAAGTATCCTAATGAACCTGTTCAGTTAAAGATGTAGCTCTCAAAGAGGGTTCGTGGATGGCAACTCATCCGTCAGACTGCTTTGCTGAACGCACCTAGGGCACAACGGCTTTTCATCATGGTATAAACCATTCGGAAAATCTGACACCAGTATAAATTTGCCAATCTCCTCACGCACCGTACTGTGCACTGGCAAAGTACTGCCCTGCGTTGGAGAGCTCTCCAAAACAGCAACCCTGTTCTGAACACCAGATGGGGCTGGAGTCTAACTCTATTAGAGTATCTTCAGATACATTGGTGGTACCAGAGCTATCAGATTTCATACGCTGACTAAATACGTTTCCAGACAAAGCTTTCTGCCAAAAAGTCAGTGCCAAAAGCCTTCTCTGTATGACCTAACAGATATAAACTCTGCCAGATGGAGATCTACCCAAACTTTCAGCCTTTGTTATAAAACACATGCACACACACCGAGTTGAACATCGTTTCGGTTTTCTGAACTCTGCCAGGATTTGTTGGTTCAACACTTTACAAGTCCACATACTGTAAACTAGAAAAATCACATTAAGAAATAATGCTCCTGACATCATTAAGAGCAAGAGTGAGCAGACCAGAATTTTGCACCCCGGTTAGCAACTTCCTTTCAAGCACTTCCCAAATAAAAGAAGAAAAGCTACACCAACTGAAATTCAATTCTTGGAAAATATATTTCTGCATTACCTAAAATCTCTGAGCAAACAATTTCAACAAAAGGGTTAGTGCACGTGTGTGCGGTTTCTAAGATTTAACTGGATGGTATTGTTTCCCAGAAAATGCACAAAATACTCGTGCTCTGGAATCCCATCACAGACAGACTGGTTTATGGCCTTTTAGGCTAAACATTTTCTGCTAGTAAGGTTGGGGTAAAATGATGAGAAAGTAGTCTATTTCACATCTTCCACGTGACAAGATTTTTATGGTCTATTGCTGGCTGTATTTACTCCCATTTGCTCAGAGATACTGCTACTGATCTGTTTTCCTCTGGCCCAAATCAGTGCTGTGCTTAATGTCTGAATGCCAGCTATGGGCAGCTTAACATAACACTAAAGCAACACTCCAATCGGAGCACAAAAATCAGGCATAGTCATAGCCCCGTGTGAACATATATTCCACGTCCCAGAAGTACCACTATAGCAATCTAGCTTAAAAATAAAACGTATGCAGACATGTGTATATAGATGCAGACATGTACAGTCATACACAGACAGAAAATACATAAGACTTATATCCATATTTTAAATTGTGTGCACTTCAGCACTTAATGCAAATGGTTTAAACATGACCACATGCTCTGACACGATTTTTGACACAATCTGTGAAACAGAGAAGAGCCACTGATTTAACAGTTTGATAAACCACAGATGGGTTTCAGCTGGCTCAGGCAGTCGCAGGAGGAGCAGTTCTTGTAACATGCTTTGGCACTATCTGCAGCTCTAAAAGAGGAAATATGCACCTTCAGACAAGAGGAAATCTGCATTTTTCTTAACATAGAAGTAAAAGAACTCTAACATGGTGCTACTTTCATACTTTGAAATCAGAAGTATGTGGATGCTATTAAAAACTAGATTTACAGTGACCTTTATGTTTGCAAACAAGTATTCGTGCTCTAAAAAAGAAGTCTGTCCATTTTTTGCATTTCTTCATTGCTGTATAATTTAAAGTGATTTTTCTGATATCTTCCTCTCCCTTAAAAAATTACATTTATTGTTTCAACTACAGGATCACTATTATGACCCCAAAAATAGAGTAGAATTGAAGGCTTCTTTCAATATAACAACAATCTAAATCCATATTCTTCATGTATTCAGGATATTGCTTCAATTGCAGTTAACAGCTACAACTTGGTAGGGGGCAGCAGAGTCCACTGAAGGCAACGAAAATGCACACAAATAACACATTTCTTTTGGCTCAGACATCCTGACATTGTTCATTTCTACAATTTTATCCTACTCTTCAAAAGAAAAAAGGTCATGAAGGGATCCAGACAGGCCCACATCTGTTCTCTGCTGCTATGGTGCTCCAGGTACCTCTTCTTCCATAGTTTTCTTTCTTGCAATTATAACCCACTTAACTGCGAAGGAGCAGGACTGCACATGCTGCTGGTCCTGCTTCCTTTGCAATGAGTAGCTGGGAAGACTTACTGGAAGACAGAAAATTTCAGCAAAATCCAGGCAATAATAACCTGAGATGCTAAATACAGACTAGCACTAGGCTTCTAAAGAAAGTGTTAACAGTAAATACATAATGTCAATGGTATGGTATGCATTTCATCCTTCGACCTGAAAGCCTTTTATGTAAGTTGAAAAACATTATTATTTTTCGCCATTTATACGTGGAAACACTGCGGTGCAATGACATGAAGTAACTAAAATTCACCATGTGAGTCAAGGACAGGAACGAGTACAGACAGAGAAGCTCTACCCCTAACAGGATGCTGCAGCCGCAGATCGTGATACTTCAGTCACTAAACGGTTGAGTCGGTGCAGAGAGTTTATCAGCTTTAAAGGCCAGATCACTCCTTGTGCAAACAGGAATAATGCGACGCACTCCAGCAGGTACACGACCACGCATAGGAAGGCTCGGCCTGGCCTGTTAAGTTGAGGTCAAACAGAAATGCAAAAACTTACTTCACTTTCTAGGGCAGTGCAAGACCACCACAGATTCAGCATTGCAGCGCAGAGATGAAGCGGTGAGCAGCTGTCTCATGCTCATGTCAGGAAAACTGAGCCTTGCACAGCGATGCAGAAGTATTTTTGTAGCTTTTATTTATTGACATCTTTTTTGTTGAGTGCACAAAGATCGTAATAAACATGCATTTCAGGCATTTCCCTTTGTTCTAAGCAATTTCAGGCTGGCAGGTCTCCCCTTAGATGCATGCTGGCTGAATCGCAAAGAAGGCTTTCTCCAATAATACTTTATACTAACATAATCCAATTAAAAGGAACTTAATTGGTGTGCAACATTCCCTACAATTTCAACATTTTAAAAATGAATAGTCTCAGTAAGTACCAGATGGTGACACGCACTAATTAATCAGGCCTGCTCAATGAACGAGCATATTAAAATGAATGCACCTATTAGACATGTGCTTTCAATGCTGTACGCTGCAAAAAAACTCCCCTTAAATGAATGCTTGTTATGTTACTGAGCACTATGCACAAGTGTGCATTTCATCATTTGCAATTGTAACGCTATCACTCTTTTGTCTCCTCTTAGATCACTACATACTTCCAACAGTTTTCCTCTTGTTTGCTCCGCTTCAGGGAAAAGCCATGAAAATGGGCCCACAATTTTTATAGTGCAGAGTAAATTTCATTGATCAACCTTCTTATGAGACTACGGTCCATTAAATCACTAGTGAACAACCCACCAACCTCTCACCATTAACAAGCACGTCCACAGACTGAAAAATCAACAGTGGGAATGCAACCTAGGTTTCCTATATGGGAGTGCCTGGACACCACAAAACCACTATGGCTTTGTGGTTTTGTCTGAACTACTTCTAGTGATGTGGACAGTCACTGATCATCATAAACAACAGCAGAAGTGTAACAGAACAAGAACAAAAGAAGCGTAACATAGCAAGAACCAAATCATGGTCAATCTTCTCAATATCTGATTTCTCTTTCTTTTCTTTTATTATAATTGTAAACATGTTAAGAGATTCTTTGGAAAACCAAAAGGCTCCAACTCCTACATACTGTCCTACTTGGGTGGCAACAGGCTCTGCATCCCAGCCAGTGTGACAGCTTACTGACCCAGGGCCACTGAAACGTGAATACATCCAGCACAGATAACTGGGACTACAAACAGACGATGCATGTGCCATTTAGGTTACCTCGTCCTTCAAGCCTTGAAAAAAAATCTAATTCTTCTCAAAGTTTAGGTCCTTTGTAGAACT